TTCAAAATGTTGGTTTGTATATTTTCTCCCAATCAATTTTCTTATTTTTTTTTGCATTCATGTTTGTAACCTAGTCTATATTTTGAGTGTCACTATTTGGTTCTTCAATAGCCATAGTTCTTTAATGAATTTTTTTTCAAGTTGTTTATATTTGAAAATGGTTTAACAAAAGATGAAAATAAAGCAAAAGGCTAGCGTCTTTCCATTTAAATGACGTGATTATGTCAGTTGATTATTTTTAGAATGTAATAATATTCAATATTCAATATTTTGTCTATTTTAAATATGTAGTATTATTTTTTTATTTTTGTTCAAATTTTATGTCGAATTTTACGATTCACGATTCTCAAATTTAGAATTCTGATTCACGATACGAATTGCGATTTGACAATTATGAATCTAGACACAACGATTCGAAGCGAACTCAAAAAACTTTCTAACACACCAACATCTTCTTTATAATGGTATGTGGGGTTCAAGTAATAAAACTACACAATATAAATAATGATGACACTTGTAAATGTTAACATCTAAAATGATAACACTTATCAATAATAAAAATATAAATTGGTAAATAATAAGTTTACCTGCTATACGAATATGTTGAATGATTTATTTTTTTCATCGAGCATCAATGATGTCAAGATATTTTTTGCACGATTTAGGAGTCACGTCTTTGACAGCTTGTCTTGCTCGTTTAATTGTTCATATACATATGACATTGTTGTTTTTCTTTCCTCATCGACCATTCTTAAAATTTTTGCAATAGGTGTATGTATATTCCACACATTTTTGGCGTTCTTCCAAAACTTAGGATTTAGAATCGTCCCTTGAACTCGATTTCCAATTGGATCCTTTGCTGCCGCAGTCCTAGACCAATCTTCTGAAGTAAAAATCCTTTGCAAGTCATTTCTCTGTTCCAAAATACTTTATAGGGCAATATAATTAGTGACAAATCTTGTTTGCCCTGGCCGAATCAATTCTCCCGAATAAAATGTTCTTATTATATCGAAGACTCTATTATGATTATAGATAAAATTGGTCACTCTTTTAGCTTGTTCTATCACATTTTAAATCGTTTCAATCTTCAAAAAATCATATAAAATCAAATCCAGAGAGTGGGCAGCACAAGGAGTCCAATATAAGTGTGGTCTTTTTTCCATCAACTTTCACCAGTTTTTATGTATGCATTGCCATTGTCTTTAATAATCTGAACCACATATTTCTCTCCAATCTCCTCAACAATAGCATCCATCAACCCCAAAATATAATTAGCATCCTTGTCATGGCCAAAATTATCAATTGACTTGTGGAAGACAACTTTTTTATCACAATATATCAAGAAATTAATGATAGATAATCATGTGGTGGATGTCTATCTATCACACATGATTGTTACTCCATAAATCTCCCATTTCTTTTTGAACTGGTCAATGTACTCTTTAAGCTCAACTATCTCATTATCTAGTAATGGCCCGCCAATCTCATATGGGGTTGGCTCTTTCACACCCATTCCAGCTAAAGCAATTTCATCAATCATCAATTGATAAAAATGACCTTGAGCTTTGCTTGGCGGAATATTCTCATAAATGAAATACTTTACAATAGCATGTTTTACCGACTTTGCCCACTTTTTGGGATTCCACTTATGAGTTAGTTTTATTTGCTTCACTTCCCTATTCCAATACATTGAAGGATTCATCTCTTCTATCGTGGGTTCTTTTTCTTTGTCCATCAACTTTTGTAATTTTTTTGAGAATTTATCCCAAGATTCATTCACACTATGTGATTGCATCAAACTCCTAGATGTAATAATTTTTTGGATAGATGGTCTAGAACTTCCTCCTCTAATGCCCTGCTTGGCCATATATATCACAAATAGATTGTTGTTTTGCATACTCAATATTAGTTCTATATTCTATATCCATAACATTATCTGAATTCTCATCGGAAGAACAAAATTTCGATACCACTCCTCCGCCTTGATCCAACAATTAAATTCTGTCTCATTTTTCTCCTTTCATCAGTCACTTATGCATTTTCAGTCTTGATGCGATTCAAGTAATCCCTCGTAGCTCTCACAATCAATATGACACTTATCACATTGTTCCACATTATTATAACCGCCTGTCAAGTGTTGCTTTAACCGTGACACACCGTCATCCATCGTTTTTTTATGGCAAAAATTACACGTCACATGTTGTCGATTATCCTCCTCAATTCGTTCGCCGTAATTTCATCCAATATCACGTTCTTTTTTCTTTTTCTGGGATGATTCAGTAACCACATTCTTCCCCTTTGATGTCATATCTACAATAAATGTCATTATATTGTCAAACACATTATATTCATTCAACAAATTAAATATGACATGTATAACACTTTTAAATTAAAATATTATCCAATAAATAATACTATTTTATTATAATACTAATAATGCAGGTTATTAAATTAAATTAATGGTACTTATGTATATTTAAAAATTAAATGTAATTGCAGAGGGTATTAAATATAATTGCAATGGGGTATTAAATATAATTATAGTGGTTATTAAATGTAATTACAATAAGTATTAAATATAATTACAGTGGTATTAAATATAATTATTCATATATATATATATATATATATATATATATATATATAACCTGCATAGTTGAACCACACGAATGAACAGACAGATAGAGAGGCAAGAGGCATAGGCAATCTGGGCGATGCCGGGGAGAGAGAGAGAGAGAGGGAGAAGAAGAAGAAGAAGAGAAAAACATACCCGTGGACCAGTAGAAGCTCTTGGCCGCAGCGATGAAGACAAAGACAACTCCCAAACCCTAGATCTGCTTGGATAATGGTTGGATCTACTCAAATCTGGAGTGAAGGAGATAAGTTACAATAACTTCTTCAATTCTGGTCTATATTTCTCTTTGTATGGTGTCTTTCTCTCCTTCTACTCTCTGTTTTTTTTTCCTTACTTGAAATACCTGGATCTGCTAAAATCAGGAGTGAAGGAGGTGACTTGTGATCTGAGATGTCTGTTTTTTTCCCTTTTTTTTTTGGCTTGGAGTTGTGAATTCTGACTTGTGGAATCTGCTTTTCTGAGCCCCTCTTTTTTGTCTTTTGGTCTGGAGTGAACAAATCTTTTCACTATTTCGATTGAAACGGACCAAAACACTGGAGTTTAGGGATTCAACCACTGTTTTGCGTCGGAGTGTTGAAATTCCGAAACGTTTCGAACGTGTCGACACGAGATTTAGATCCTTGTATAGAACATTAGCGAAGTCCTTTGTTTGACATTGAATTTATAACAACAAACATAGGGTCATGTGACATGGTAAGGATGTCAGCTTCGCTTTCCTAGGTGCGTGCAGAAGAAAAGTGAGGAAAATAAGTTGGTGTTCTTTGCTACAATGAGATAATCGCATGCTCTTTCTGAATAATAGTAGGCATTTACCTAAGGCCCTAATTAAAGTACCATACTAAGGAAAATCTCAAATTGACAATATCATGGTGGGTGGTCAATGAGCTCCTTTTTGACCTTTTTAACTTCTCAAAATATAACGAACTTGGTGCAATGTTTAATGGATCTTGCAACTCGAATTACGGGTTCATTTTTCTTGGAATTTTACCATCCACTTGGGAATTTTCTATACCAGATATCTCTCAACACAAGTCCCCTTGCATTTTAAAAGGTACATGTCCGACACTCCTTGTCTCTAATGAATATGGTTCTTACCTTTAGGAAAACTTCACTTTACCCCTTGTGGTGTACCTCGAATGCACATAACCTCCCTAACATTTAAAAATGTCTACATAACCCTCATGTGATTTATGGACTAAAGTGCACCGCCAAAGATTATGTCCAACTTAATTGGAGGTATGTACGATGTGCAATATCCAAATGTTGATCTGTATCAAAAAAAATTCAAAGACAAAAATAACCTTTTAAAATTTTGAAATTATTAAAACACCATTATCTTCTTTGAACCAATGATAAACACCACATTTACTGTATATCACCATGGAAGGTCTGTAATACTCCAACATGCATTACAGAAGGCAAAATAGATTGGTGGATCAAAGAAGCACAAATATTAAGTAGCTTGTCTCCTCACCATCGACACAAACTTCTTTACGTTATTGTTGGTCTCGACAGAGGGAATGTGGTCCAAATTGTCATAGACACCAACCCACCTAAAGTTATTCCACCTTCTCCCTGTATCTTTAATCAATTAAACCCTCTTGAATCTATTGTTGTTGAACCACCATTACACAACAACTAATTGGTGAGAGAGAAGAGGGGGGGGGGAAGAGAGTGAGAGAGAACGTCATAGGGGTTGTCGGCGGCGAATCTAAGTAGATCAACCACCACCCACATCCAAGTCAACCCCAGCATACCTGAGTTTTCTACCTGTCCAAATCAGTGTCATTCCTTTACTTTGCAATGGTGACCACCTGCAATTCTCATCTTCGTTGAGCAATAGTTCATCACCATCGGCGACCCACCAACAATTGTCGAACAATAATTTGTTGGTATTGCAATCCACTGAATATAATTTTGGTTCTCATTTTTTTTTTCATTTTAATTTTGAAGCTTTGGAAATTGAAAATTCAAAATTTGGTGAATTGAGATGTTTTTGTGCCGCCGTAGAAGAAGGGTTTGATGTTGAAGAAAGAGAGGAAGGAATGGCTCAAAGGTGATTTCAACATTTCCGTCAACGGTATTAGCATTGTGTTTTAGTCCACAAACCATACGAGAGTTATGTGACTATTGTTAAATATGAGGGAGGTGATCTACAAAATGACTTAACCACTTAACCATAAAGGGATAAAGTGATGTTTGCCCTATTTTTTATTATTGACAACAGTTTCTTTATACTTAAGCTTAGACCTTGATTTTTTGTTGTACATCTTGGTGCAAGTGTATTCCTCTAATATCTCTCATGTCTAGATTTTTTGTATGGAGATTTTTAGCGAAAAATAACTTAAGATAGATGACATTGTAGGTGACTAATGATATATTCACAAAAGAGGATGGCGAGTTCTTGGTGAAGCATGGAGCACTTCCTGAGGAAAGGATACGTGCTGTGGAAACGGGAGGCTGTCCACATGCTGCTATTCGAGAAGACATCAGCATCAATCTTGGGCCTCTTGAGGAGCTTTCAAACTTGTACAAAGCTGATATACTTCTCTGTGAATCTGGGGGAGGTAATTTGGCACCACAGTGTACTTTGCTTAGCTGTAAATATTATTATGTTAGTGATCACCATGAAATTTAAAATAATAGATAAGCTTCATTTAATCAGGTTCTGTGCTTCTGGATTTATGTGACTTTGAGCATTAGGTGAAAAGTTATTATAAGGAAATTGAAAGCTCATGGTGATCAAAAGTTGTGGCAATAAATTTGCATTTCTTGTTGATTTGTAAGTTGTGCTGAAACAATTCAGGAATTATTTGTAATTTATAACTACCCATGGATAGAATTGACCTTGAAATCATTAGATGAGACAAAACTTTATTTATTTTCGTATATAATGGATTTAGGTGTTGATTGAAACATGTTTTAATACGCTTAATTTATGTGGATGCAGACAATCTAGCTGCCAATTTCAGCAGGGAATTGGCTGACTATATAATTTATATTATAGATGTATCCGCTGGTGATAAGATCCCTCGAAAAGGAGGCCCAGGGATCACACAAGCTGACCTTCTTGTATGTGTTTTATTCATCTGTTACCTGATGTTTGGGGCTTTAAACACCATTTAATCCATTGATGTTTTCTCAAAAGAAATTGTTGAAAGGTATAATGTTATTGAGATTGCACTTAATTCTAGGTAATAAACAAGACTGACCTTGCACTGGCTGTTGGAGCTGATTTGGCAGTCATGGAGCGTGATGCACTTCGGATGCGGGATGGTGGTCCTTTTGTTTTTGCTCAGGTTTGTGGAATATGCCGTTTCTCCATATTCTGTAGCATTAGTGTGATACATGCATAGTATGGATACCTATTTGAAATGATGCTTCTATTACTGGTCTAATGAAATTTATTATGTGAACGACCGAAAAGCTGTATATTATCCAGAATCATAGGGTGCCGAAGCAAAGTGTATCATTCTGCAGCAAAATAGTACACCTAAATTTTACTAGTATGGTAACAAAGTAGCTCCTCCATTAGTTCTGAGGCATGTGTAACTATTAAGCATGCGTACAAAAATCTCTAGTATCCCGATGGAGTGAAAATTTCTGACAGCCACATTCAATAATTTGATCCTATGCTGTTTGTTCTTAAATGGCTGTAATACAATGAAGGGGAAAATAACAACTATAATGGTAAATGTACCTACTTGATTTATTGAATTGAATTAGAGAGAAATGACCATTACATTGCTCACCGAAAACCCCTTCTATGGGTTTCCCTGTGATTGATAAATGGAAATTACATGCATGCAGGTTAAGCATGGAGTCGGCGTTGAGGAAATAGTAAACCACGTTTTACAAGCTTGGGAATTGGCAACAGGAAAGAAGCGCCACTGATCTGTTTTCCAATTGTTTCAGTGAACAATGCCTTTTGTATCTTAATAATGTTTTCTCAAAATTTCAGCACTCCCCAGTCTACGGTTGCTTTGGTCAGCCTGCTTTTAGCAATAAATTGGATTTATGAAGTTGAATGTTGGAATGTTGGTCCTGTAGAACTTTTAATATTTGTGCTCTAGGAAATGAGGAACTTGTATTTTCTTAGAAACTAATTCTTTTTTGTTTCGGTTCGTATCTAGAATTTGATAGTTGGAAAGGGTTTCTCTGCATGGAGTGATAAGACTGAATACAACTATCCTCCTCATACTGGCAATATTAGGAGTCTCCTACATTAGATACCCTAAATAGGATTTTTACTGGTAATCTCTGTAGCTCTTTAGGTTGACATTGAATCGAATTTTCACAGCATTTTGCCACTGCCACTTGATGAGCTGTCTTATTATTATCGGGCAGAGGATTGTAACTGAAAGACAAATTATTTAGGTAATTAGGTCAATGATTTGAAAATATGTGTAATCCCAATTTAGTTGTTAATTGAACTGCATACTTTAGGGATTAAAAGTATTTATATATTTTGATCTTACTTCATCCATCTGCTATAAAATTTCTTACATTATCTTTTCAATTATTTTAATTAATTTTATATTATTATAAAACCAAATGTCTGTTTTGTTTTGGATGAAGCATAACATTTTTCATTCAATTTTGAGACAAAATCACATAGTTTAGGGGCAAAATAACACAACTTTCTATTAAGTTTACGAAGGAATATTGCAATTTGGACCAATGTGAAAAAATTATCTTATGGGGAGATGCATAGTGAGAAACATGATATATAATTGAGGGGGTAATGTGTGACTGTTGGCATAATTGAGGGGGATTGAAGTGTAATTTTATCTTTGTTTTATTATACTAACTTTTGAGTATTATAAGTACCCCCTCTATGTTTTCCTTTCTGCAGGGGAACTAAAGGTAGAACTGTATGGTACTTTTTCCATTGAATACTTGGGCCACAATTTCTGTGGCAGGAATTTTCAACATCTACACAGGCTTAAAAGCCTACCAGAAGGGAACCTCAAGAAGCATACCCTTTGGACCATCCTTTTCACATCAGAGATCTCTTTCATAGGGCTCTTCTACCTCTTTCAAGACAAATGGGAGTATATACAAAAGCAAGGAGTGATATTAGGCACTGCACCAAACACACTCTGATCAAGTACTTCCCCAAAGGGAAAACCACTAGGAGGTCTTTACTGAACCACCATGTGGGAAAAGCAATGCCCTTGGTAGTTATTTTGCCAGAAGCAATGCCTTGAGAAAATTGTTTCAGCTAACATGAGAATTGGGTGTCATAAGTTTGATTCATATAAGCAACTTATCCTCGTGCATCTCATGCAGGACAAGACGTATAACCCGACTCTGTTTAGACCCCATATCTGATTCTCTTTTCACCTTTTGATGCTTGCACTCCATGCAAGTGAGTATGCACTTTATATAGAGCGACACAATGAAGTGCCAGCATCAAAATGTGAAATGAGAATAGTTTGTCCTCTCCTTTCCCCCACGTGAAGAGTTTGGATTTTGTGGGGTAGGATTTGCTATATATCATATTTATTCGGTTCAGTTAACGCCAAATCACCCACTATGAATCTAAGTGGATCTTCTAGCCATACATAATGCATAAAAGGGCTATTAAATCCCAAAAGGGAGGCCTTTAGGGAAGTGTTTTGTACAAATTATTTCATAAATTTGTAAGCAAATTGTATATAACATTAATAAAATACCAATTATGATAGACTACTATTTTTCAATGTGGAATTATTTAGAAAAACCAAGAGAAATGCCTTGAAAATACTTAGGTGGTGGAGGAATTCTATGATATTGGTTGTGGTGTTATTTGTGTGTGTTGTGAAGAAATGATAGATACCTACAAAATGGTTCTAAAAATAGTCTTATTTGCATTGGGTCTTCACAAGATATTGTTTCCTCAACTCCATTTCATAAATGAAAAATGATTTCAAGAGTAAAGAAAATAAATCAATGTAGTGACCTGTGTGTGGTCAAAAAAAAAATGTAGTGGCTTGTCTGTGGTCTTAGATGTAATGTTTATATATAGCATTGTTGAAGGACTTGTAAAGGTATTACTTCTAGGAATAACAAGTGTTCACATAGGATTGACCACTTATCACTAAAATACCCCAAGAGGGTATATGGCTAAGTGGGAAGAAAATAGTTTTTCATAAGATAGAAAATGAAAATTATTAACTCCACACAAGGGTTTTGAAGAAGTGATTGTTTGAAAACAAGAGATATATGTCTTTATGCTAAAGAAGATGTATTGAACTCATAATCATTAAATACGATACGACTTTTACTCTAAAAATGAATTTATCCAAGAAGGAAAAAAAAACTATCTACAACTTGAATGAAGAGAAAAGAAAAATAGTTGTGAAAACATGAGAGATATTTTTTTCTTCTGTCTTGTATGAATCCTAAGAGTTTTTATTATCTTCCTTTGGTATTTTTTTTATTTTTTTTGGTTACAGGGTATTTTAGGTTGTGTTGACTATTCTTTAGAGTTTAGCGGCTAATTTACCGTGTATGACTTGAGCTGAGTTAGAGTATGTCTCTAAAGAGACAAGAGCGGTTAATTCTAAAGGACCGTGAAAAAGAATTGGTCTAAGACCTTTTAATTATCAAAGATCAAGTACAAACACTCAATTACCCTCAAAGACTTATCTTTCCTTTGTATTATCCACCAAGATTATTGCACATATCCCAACTACCACAATTTTATGTATATGACAGCTTACCCTCCCTCATCTCAAGTGGGAGCATCCATTAGGTCAAAATCAGTTTGAGTACCCTTTGGACAAAAAAAAAACTACCACAATGAGAGGTGGTACCCTATTTGTGGTAAATTGCAACTTTGAGTTTTATTGGGAAAAAAACACAATAACCATTGGACATTTGTAAAACTATACAATGATCTCAATTAAGGATTTTAATTTAGAAATGACTGACTTGCACTTGGTCAAAATTCACCAAAAAGAGGATGATCTTGGTATTTTAAATAGTATTTTCACTCGCCAAATCATTATCATATTTTCAAGGGTAAAATATACTTTTAGTCTCCAACATACATATTTGGTGTCTATTTGGTCTTAAATTTTTTAATTATATCTATTTGGTCTCTAAGGTTCCTAATTTGTATCCACGTGATCTAATACCAAATATCTGTTAAAAAATCGTGACGGTTTCAGTCACGCGCCAATCACGTTGTTTCTAATTTTATTGTCAGCCTGCTTTTAGCAATAAATTAGATTCATGAAGTTGAATGTTGGAATGTTGGTCCTTTAGAACTTCTAAGATTTGTGCTCAAGAAATGAGGAACTTGTATTTTCTTAGAAACTAATTCATTTTTGTTCCAATTCGTATCTAGAATTTGATAGTCAAAAAGGGTTTCTCTTCATGGAGTGATAAGACTGAATACGACTATCCTCCTCATACAGGCAATATTAGGAGATACCCTGAATATGATTTTTACAGGTAATCCCTTTAGCACTTTAAGTTGGTAGTGAATCGAATTCTCATAGTATTTCGCCATTGCCACTCGATGAGCTGCCTTATTATTATCAGCATAGGACTACAACTGAAAGACAAATTGAAAGAAACAACACAAGTTATAATGTCATTTACAACTACAGATATCCCTTGCTGCCCCAGTCCCCGTGGATGCATTTGTGTGTGTTTTTGGGGAAGGGGGAGACTCTTTGGAACTTTCGTTTAGCACAATGTCTTTCGACAGTGGCACCAGCGAGATTGAGAGTTTTGGCCATAAGGCATGCTTTTCTAAGTGCGAAGTCTTTTGATGTAAGTGATGAAACCACATGGAATTGTTTTGCTAATTTTCTAGCTAGAGAATTAGTCATGGTTGCAGTGAGAAGTGTTTTAGTTGGCTGAGGAGTGTTTTAGTTGGTTGATAAATTCTTATTCACTCATTCAAAGGTTGGACCCTTTTGGAGGTGGTGTGCAGTTTTGGCTTTATTGGCCTTCTGGACATAAAACAAACGTTATTGTTCTAATATTTTGTTGTATTAGTTAGGAGTTGGTGTTAACATACAAAATTCAGGGGTTTTATATAATTTCTAAATTGTAGAATGTCTATTACTATTCTGTATAATTATAAAAGAGACACAAACCAAATTCGATCTATCTCATATTTAAACCCATCCTCTCACTCTCCATTGTCTGTTCTCCGACAATCGTCACTCACAGCTTTGTTCGATCGTCCTCCTCACTGCTTTGTCACTCGATTTCATCGCTGCCTCTCTCCTTCGCCGCCCCTCTTCATCGCCGCCTCTCTCTCAGGTTTGAATTAGATCTGTGTGGGTGTTGATTTCTGGGTTTGGGTGTGAGTGGGTGTTGATCGTGGTTTCTGGATTTCTGAGTTTGGGCATGTGTGGGTGTTGATTTCTGGGTTTAGGCGTGATTTCTGGTTGTGGGTGTTGATCGTGACTCGATTTCCCCCAAACAATTTCTCTTATGTCCCCGTCTCTGTGTGTGTTCCGTGTTTGTACTGATTGTGTGTGTTGAATCTGTGTGTGTGTGTGTGTTAAGTCAGCAAAGTGTGTGTGTGTTGGTATATTGTGGGTGAATTTGTGGATACGTTGAATATACTGTGGGTGAATTTGTGGATATGTTGAATATATTGTGGATAAGTTAAAATTCATGAGTGTATATGTTGAAATTCATGAGTGTAATATATGTTTAGAGAATTTCATGAGTGTATATGCTACTCCCAATTCCTGAGTGTACGTAGAATTGCTGCATTAGTGAATGGTTATATGTTAATATGGAATGTTGATTAGAACTTTTATTTAAGGATATATTTTGGCGTGATTATCAAATATGTTTTTAATTTTTATTTTTGTAATTTATTAAATACAAATAATTTCTAAACATGATTTATGTTTTCGGTGTTTACCACAAAACAAATCTATGTTTTCAATTTTTTTGAAAATACAAAAATAAAAATGTTGGTGTTTTCGGTTGGTATTTTTGTTTGTATTTTTTGTTAAAAATAAAAATAAAAACACAATTGAGTTTGGGTTTTTATTTCATATAAGGTAAGTTGTTTTCGAAGATAAGGCCAAAAACAAGAAACAAAAAAAACATTCCAAGAAACAAGGAAAGTATAAAAAAGCGGGTGGAGGCAATTAATGAGATCCATGCTTCTAAGTCTTGTTAGCAGCAAAATACATCTTTTTTTAGTTGAAATAGAAAAACCCATTCCTTTCTCTCTCCCCTCTCTTTGTATCAAACGAGCGCCTCCCTCTGCCTCGCTCTAGCTACCTCCATCGCTGCTTCTGTGGCTCTTCATCACATCTCTCTCTCTCCTTGGTCTGTGCAACGAAGAGATCTCAGATCTTGAGTGTATGATTTCTGCCTCCATCGCTGCTTCTGTGTGTGAGTTTGTCTGATGTGTGGGTGGGTCTGTGTGTGTGTCTGATTTCTGTGAGGTTTGTGATTTCTGTGTATGTTTGTCTAATTTTTATGTGTGTGTCTGATTTTTGTGAGTATTTGTGTGTCTGATTTTTGTGTGTGTGAGTGAGATCTGATTTCAGTAGCAGTTAGGGTTGGGGTTGATTTTTCGGATTCCAGTAGCAGTTAGGAAATGAATGGGGAAGGATGGTCTGGGCAGCATTTTTTTCTTAGAGCTCTTTTGGATGGATTGAGGTTGGTGGACAGATATGGCTTATTTGCTTATAATATTGATATTGAGTCGGACTCTTTAGTGCTAGTCAATACTTTAAAAGGTATTACGCTGTGTTCGTGGCCTTTGTGGGGGATTCTTGCTCAAATTATGAGGCTTTTTGAGCAGGGTGAAGTTTAAGATGAAACATATTTATAGGGAAGCTAATTCGGTAGCTGATGGGCTTGCGAATAGAGCAGTATTGGATGGGTTTTCTTCGGATTTTTCTGTCTCCAATGTGTTGGCTGCTATTGTACGGCTGAGGATGGTGCAGGACCTGAGGAGGCTGCCTTTTCTGCGACTAAAAAGGTGGTTGTTTTTCATGATTTTGGCTAAGCTTTGTTGATTTGAAGCTGCTGAAGGTTTGGTGGGGGAGCCCTGGTGTAAATTTCTAGGCTAATTGAATGTTTTGAAGGATTAAAGTCATAAGTGTAATGTAAATGGGGCTTTCCCCTTTTGTTTCTTGTAATATTCTTTCATTCTTTCAATAAAATTTTGGGTTAGGGTTGATTTTGGCCTTGAGTAACAATATTGCACTTCATTAATTTAGGGATTTGTTTGAGGGTTATCTTGCCACCCTAAAGACTCCCAAACATGTTTTCTACTTTCAATGTTCACCACAAAACAGAGACAACTTTTGTCTCTGTTTTTTGGTTTTTTGAAAACACGAAAACAAAAACGTTACCAAACACACCATATTTATCTTCTTTGGTTTTTTTTTTAAAAAGGGGTGCAACTGTAAATTTTATCTAGTGGACAAGATTTAAATTCACTGCTGTAAGTTCACATGTTTCCATTGTTGCATTTCAAAGCAAAGGACGCCTGTAGTGTGATATTGACAGATTGTAGAGGTGGTTCAACTTGACTGTTTTCTTCCCCCAATTTATCAGTGGTTTTATCTGCATTATTTTTGTCATACCAAAGAAGGGAAATTTTATTTGAATGATTTATTTATATGACTCAGTATACCTTTAGAGAGCCAATTTTATTGATCAATATTTGTTAGAATATATCCCTCTATGGTTTCTTGAATCTGCTAGTTTTATACTGTCTGCAAGAAAGCATTTCATTATTCCTTAGGTCACATTACAATCTCTAACTTCACCATCATCTGTAAAAAGAAACAAATGGTTCCCATCTTGAATGACACTTATATCATCTATTTCTGCATTCTCGGAATTTACAACTTTTGTGACTTTGTAGCTTCCAAATTTTTGACCTGCAGTTCCACAAAGCGTAGGGTGTTGAATGAATAAGGCATCAAAGCAAGAAAAAATGCTGTCGCTGAATCAGTATAGCTTCTTAATTAGAAGGTCTGACCTTTGTTTGTATGTTGGATTTTCAGTTTCATTTTCTTTTGTACTTGAATCTAACCTAGAGCCAAACAAACTAATATCTGTTTTCAGGTTTATATCAACTTCTCTGAGTTGTGAAGCAAAGCTTACCTGCAACGCTGAAGAGCTCTTCAAGTGAATCAGGTAGGATTATTAGCTTCCCAAGCTGCTTTTGTGATGAGCTTTTCGTTTGCAACTTCATGTGAATGGTGACTCTTCTCTTGGGAAATCTTCCAAATCCTGTATCTGCCGGACAGCTAGAACTGTTTGGGCTGGAGAATGTCTTGCCTTCTAAGATAAGAGTCAGAAAAATTAGTGGCCCCATTTTTTGTAGGTTTGAATTGCCAATTCCTTTTGTTTTCTGTGGTTCCTGGTTCAGTAATCTCTATTCTGTGATCACTTGATATCCCTCTATTTTCATAATTTAGTGAAAGGTCATTTATACTTTTGTTTTCCTTCTGTTCTTTTAGAATATTTGGTGTCCACCCTGTTGTATCTGGTTTGTTTGCATTTGGTCCCTCTTCTAGCAGATTCTTAGCCTTTTCAATTTGCCCCTCGAGAACAGCACCATGAAGAGTTGTTTGGCCATTATATCACTTGTTTGGCAAAGTATCCAAGGTTTGGCCATCCTATAGTATTGTGCAAATACTATTGGACGTCTACTGAACCAAAGAAGAGCAGATCTTTGTAACCTTTTTTTTTTTTCGCTGAATATAAATTGAGATTAAGGGAGCGGCCTCCTCTTTTTTTATTTTTTTGTAGGCCCGATGTCAACCAACTGACCAAGCCCATTTAAACTCCCCCATTCAAAACTATCACGGTGTCACCATTCCACTTGAAACCTCAAATTTGCAGAAAAACAAAACATGTCACTAAGAACAAAGATCAAACACCTCAGACTCATCACCCCTATTCGTTCAATCTCTCACCTCTCTTCCCACCCCCACCACCATGACCACCTTCAAAACCACCAATCACAATCACCACAACAAGACCCGTACTCTCTTCTCAAAGAAGACCCAGTCCAAGTCCTATCTGACCTCTGGGTCAAAACCTTCTCAGAACCCCACAAACCCTTCACTAACCTCACAGGTTTTCTTTCAAAATTCGACCTTTGGGTCTTAGCTTACCAACGCACGTGCGCTCACGTGACCGGCTCTTTTCCTCCCAGAAACGCCATTCACACCCACGTCCTTCAGGACCTTCTTTCTCTTCGAAACGGCGTAATCCACGGCCAATTTCAGTGGCATAAGAAAACCCACCAGTTCATTCACAGCCCCAACGAAAAACCCATTCATAGATTGATCTCAAAACGCAAACTTCAATCCATTTTAGCATCCAAAGAGCCACCTTTTCAAGATAGAGTGGTCCAAGAAGTTCTTTTTATGGTTCTTGAACCCATTTTTGAGCCCAAGTTTTCTTCAAAATCTCATGGTTTTCGACCCAGTAGGAATGCTCATACGGTTATTCGGACCATTCGGAGTAACTTTGCGGGGTATTTGTGGTTCTTGAAAGGTGATATAAGTGAGATCTTTGACAATGTTGATGAACATGTGGTGATGGGTTGTGTTGAAAAGGTTGTGAAGGATAAGAAAGTGTTGGGTTTGATCAAATCGGCACTAAGAGGACCAGTGAAAAGTCAATATAAATATGAAGAAGATTATGGAAGGAAGAAGACAAAGAAGAAGGGTCAGACTAAGAAGAAGATCTTGAATGAGAATGAGCCGAAGCCGGACCCATATTGGTTGAGGACGTTCTTTGATTTTGCACCTGAGGAGGCTGCAAAGGTACCCACTTACGGCTATTGTGGAATTCTTAGTCCTTTGTTTGCTAATTTATGTCTTAATGAGTTGGATCATATGATGGAAGAGAAAATAATTAAGTTTTTTAGGCCATCTAAGCTTGATTCAATATGGAAATTTTCGATTGATGATGGTTGTCATAATCCGTCTTGGCCAGAATTTGTGCCAGCTAGTGGAAAGGAGAAAACTAGAAGAATGGATTATATCAGGTTTGGGGGTCATTTCTTGATTGGAATTCGAGGGCCTAGAGAGGATGCAGCAGAAATTAGGAAGGAAATAATTGAATTTTGCGAGGGTAAGTTTAGTTTAAGGTTAGACAATTCGAAAGTGGAGATTGAACACATAACTAGAGGAATTCAGTTCTTGGATCATATAATTTGTCGTCGGGTTATACACCCAACTCTTCGTTACACTGGGACTGGTGGTAAAATTGTGAGTGAAAAGGGGGTGGGGACTTTACTTTCAGTCACTGCTAGCTTACAACAATGTATTCGCCAGTTTAGGCGGCTTAAGTTTGTTAAGGGTGATAGGGATCCTGAGCCACTGCCTTGCACTCCAATGCTGTACTCAGGTCAAGCTCATTCGAATGCCCAGATGAATAAGTTCCTTGAGACTATGGCCGATTGGTATAGATACGCAGATAATCGAAAGAAAATTGTTGGATTTTGTGCATATGTGATCCGTAGCTCACTGGCTAAATTATATGCTGCGAGGTATAGACTGAAATCTCGGGCCAAGGTGTACAGGATAGCTTCACGTGATCTCAGCCGTTCACTGAGGGAGCATAGTAACAACTCTGCACCTGAATATTCGGATCTGTTGAGGATGGGATTAGTTGATGCTATTGAAGGTGTTCAATTCTCTCATATGTCTTTGATTCCTTCATGTGATTACACTCCATTTCCAAGGAACTGGGTACCAGATCATGAGCAAGTGTTGCACGAGTACATCAGATTACAAGACCCAAAATTCTTTTGTGAATTGCACAGGTCAGTTAAAAGAAAAGGTTTGAGTTTGCCTCAAGACGAGGTATCTGGGATTGTCTGGGACTACAAGACTCTTGGAGTGCGGAGTTATCAGTCTATTGGTGATAATGAGACGAAAAAAGCTGCTGATAATGTGATATTACCGCCTTGAGTTCAGTTATGGTGGTATCAGGCAATGGTTTTTATTCTTGAATGGGAGTCCACGGTAGGTGGATTGTGTTAAGGATAATAAATTTTTCGTTTTGATGCATATTTTAAACTGAACACATTTGGAAATATAATGAAAGCATTTTCAAAACATTGGTTGATATATCTATATATACTGGTCATAACCTGTGTTTTAAGGCATGAAGAAATATAAAATTTGAGCGTTTAAAAAATTGATTCCATTATATTAAATAATAATATTTATTTTCTTCATTTATTTGATTACATTATTTAAAATTTATTTTTATCCATTATTTTTTTAAAATATCGATAAAAATAAGTAATCTGACAAATTTTTTTAACATGTGTATATTATTGTGTATAGATAATGTTTGAAATAAAAATTATGTCAAACTATAAATTAATTAAATATTAAATAATTAAACATGTGATCAAAATAGGTGATGTGATAGTTTTGGGAAGAAAAATATGTATGAGATAAAGTTTCAAACATCTAGTATATTAGTATAGATAAACATTTTAAAATACCTCAAAATATTAGAATTTTGATAGCCAATTATTGATCTGTTTTGGTTTTTATGAAAATAGAAACATTATGATTATTTCCATGGTAAAGAAACGAAAATTTAATCTTTAGTTTTGGCCAAAGAAATCGAGGATCTTTAAAACCTATTTGCTCAAGAAAATATTATTTTGATCTAATTTGAGGATCTAATTTAATGCAATCATTAGATTGAAAGTGAGTCATTAGATTCAAAGTGAGTTGTATTTAACATTAAATGTCATAACTAATCTAATGATTATAAATTAGGTCCCCCACATTTGGTCCTTATATTATTAAATTTTACTAGTTTTGTAATTGTGGGTTGAGATACAAGCTTTTAGGTTTGTTTACAACAACAAAAATTTACGATCTTTGGAGTCATATTACAACTTTTATAGTTCAAGTTACAATTTTTTTAGGTCATTATAACTTCTATAGTTCAAGTTATAACTTTTGTGAGTCATTTATAATTTTTTAGTGTTATTTGTGATCAATCATATGCTCACAAAAGTTATAAATAATTCCTAAAACATATAAGTGATTTTCAAAAGTTACAAATAATCTTTAAATTTCATAAATAAAAAAATCACAGAACTTTTGATGACAGAATGGTTCTTAAAAAGGAAAAAAAAAAAGGGTTCTTGTGAAAGGACCCAGAAACTGATGAGGAAGGAGTACACAGAGATGACCTTTATATGGGCATTATTGGTTGCTATTCATTACGGAGTTCAGTGGAACACCGGTTATCCATGTCCTCTTGCTTGGTTTTAATGCGGTGAGATCTTGTGGATTTCACCGACAAAATTAAGTATGCCCCAAAACCAATTTTCCTCTACCAAATAGTGACTAGATGGTAGATGTCACGTTAGGTCATGGAAGAATGAGTTTCCTTGATGTATATATGGCTATCATTGAAAAAAAAACTTCTGTTATAACCAATAAAAGAATATTCTGCTACAATGCAGTGCCCTTCGAATTGACAAGTGCAGGGGTAACTTACCAAAAATTGGTAAGTCAAATGTTTAAAGGCATGATCTAAAAACCCATGAAAGTATATAGATAACATGCTAATCAAGAGTCGTAAGATTGATGACTATATAGCAAACATACAGAGAACTTTTGAAGTACAAGAAAGTTTTTGGGATTCTTAATGACAAAAAGGGTAATTGAGGTTAACCCCGACCAAATTAAGGCATTGTGGTCTCTTTAACTCCCACAAACGACTAAGGAAATTTATATTTAAGATTTTAAACTTTTATCTAGATCGTGTTGCCCCATTTGGGGTCATTGCACCCTGATCGTTGAACTTCTAGGATTAAACATTTTTGTCAAGTTATGCCACATGACCCTATTTTCATTATGTCATGTCATCGTCTGGCAGATGAAAAGTTAGGCAAAGCTTTTGCTGCTTCGGCATTCTCTATTGATTAGTTGTGCATCTAGTTATAAACTCATATTTTGAATAATTACTGATGATGCATAAATTAGTTTTGCACACTACCTGTCAAGTAATCAGTAATAAATGCAATAAATAAGTAGACAGAAAGAAAACAAGATTTATAGTGGTTCGGTCAATGTGACTTACGTTCACTTTGAATGACTAAAGTCGACGAATATCCTATTAACTCAAGTGTGTAGGGAGAGCTAAGAGTTACAAGTTTAGAGAGGAAGAGGAGAGTTGTACTCGACTGAGTGTGATACCCCCCAAGTGTTGGCGGGTCTTAAAATTTATAGTCGTCCCATAACAGATTTGGGTAAGATATTAGTAACTAAGTGGCTAGTTATTGGGTCTAACAACCTCTCCTCAACGGGCGAGGTGGTTACGGGGCTCTCCATGGAATTCGGTCAAGGGATGACGTGGGGTATTGACCATTTCTAAGGCAGCGTGGATGAGCTCTTAGATGACCCTGCATGCTCCTTGCTGATGTAGCTCTTAGAACCTGATGAGCTTGTCTGGGCGTGGACCACTTTGGACTTGACTAGCTGGACCCTCTTTGGAGTTGGGGCATTAATTCACACTGGGCATGTAACATGAGTTAGGCCCTTAGGCTTGACCCATCATTTGCCCCCTAATGCCTATGTCCAATGGAACTTGGAGAGAAGGACATTTGGTTGAGTTTGAATTTCGACTAAACGCACAACTGGAAAGACTTTAGAAGGCCTAAACATATGTTTTCTAAACCTTTTTTGGGCTTTTAACGGTGTCTATCATAATCAAAGACGATGAGACTTGTAGGGCTCGTTGAGAGCTTCGATTTGATATATTATGTGTCCCGTTTGGAGAAGCGGATCAAAAGTTACAATCACGGGGAAGTCGCTGCTCCAAGGGACTGAGGTCCTTGCCATTTGGCAAGCTTCCATGGGCGAGCTTCTATGGGTGAGCATGGGGAGCTTCATGGGCGAACTCCTGTGGGCGAGCATGGAAAAATAACTCAAAAAATTTTGGGAGGCCAAAATATATGTTTCTAGGCCTTTTTTGGGCTTTTAACAACGTCTATCACAGCCAAAGACTGTGAGTCTTGTAGGGCTCGTCAAGATTTTTGATTTGATATATAATAATCCCTGTTTGGAGTAACAGAGCAAAAATTATGGTCAAAATAATGATCAACCCTTCTTGAACTTGAATTTCTTGGAGACTCCTTTTGATTGGCGACTCTTTTCCCTTCTGTTATATTCCACATTTGAAGAACTTCTCAAGACCTTCCCCATTTTATATTTGGAACTTGGAGAGGAGAGGGAGGCGCAGGGGAGTTGGGCGCCTTGGAGTTGGTGCCTAAGAAGTTAAGCGTCTGGGCTGGGCGCCTAGTTGGGCGCCTGAGAGGTGCTGGGCACCTAAGAGTTTCTAGGCACCTGGGCTGGGCACCTAAGAGGTGCTGGGTGCCTGAGAGATGTTGAGCACCTGCGTTGGGTGCCTGAGATGTGTTGGGTGCCTGGTTGGGCGCCTGAGAGGTGTTGGGTGCCTGGTTGGATAATGCACAAATTAGCTTTGCACACTACCTATCAAGTAATCAATAATAAATACAATAAATAAGTAGAGAAAAAGAAGAGAAGATTTATAGTGGTTCGATCAACGTGACCTACGTTCACTTTCAATGACTAGGGTTGTCGGATATTCTATTAACTCAAGTGTGTAGGGTGAACTGAGAGTTACAAGCTTAGAAAGGGAGAGGAGAGTTGTGCTCGACTGAATGTGATGCCCCCCAAGTGTTGGCGGGACATACAATTTATAGTCACCCCATAACAGATTTGTGCGAGATATTAGTAACTAAGTTGCTGGTTGTTGGGCCTGGCGACCTCTCCTCAATGGGCGAGGTGGTTATGGGGCTCTCCGTGGAATTTGGTCAAGGGATGACGTGGGGTATTGACCATTTCCAAGGCGACGTGGATAAGCTCTTGGATGACCTTGCATGCTCCTTGTTGATGTAGCAACTAGAACCTGATGAGCTTGTCCGGGTGTGGAGCACTTTGGGCTTGATTAGTTGGACCTCTTTGGAGTTGGGCCATTAATTCACACTGGGCTTACAACATGAGTTAGGCCATTGGGCTTGACCCATTTGCCCCCCCAATGCCCTGTGTCTAATGGAACTTGGAAAGTAGGGCATTTAATTGAGTTTGAATTTCAGCTGAATGCACAATTGAAAAAACTTTAGAAGGCCCAAACATATGTTTTCTGAGCCTTTTCTGGGCTTTTAATAATGTTTGTCACAACCAAAGACAGTGAGTCTTGTAAGGCTCATTGAGAGTTTCGATTTGATATATTATGGGTTCTGTTTGGAGAAACAGATCAAAAGTTACAGTCACGGGGGAGGTGTTGCTCTAAGGGATTGAGGTCCTTACTATTGGGCGAGCTCCAAAGGACGAGCATGGAAAAACAACTCGAAAAATTTTGGGAGGCCAAAATATATGTTTCTAGGCCTTTTTTGGGCTTTTAACAGCGTCTATAACAACCCAAGGCTATTAGTCTAGTAGGGCTTGTCAAGAGCTTTGATTTGATATATAATGAGCCCCGTTTGGAATAACGAAGCAAAAGTTATGGTCAAAATAGCGATCAACCCTTCTTGAATTTGAATTTCTTGGAGACTCATTTTGATTGGCGACTCCCTTCCTTCTTGTTATATTCTACCTTTGAAGGACTTTTCAAGACCTTCCCCATTTTAGAACTTGGAGAGGAGAGGGAAGCGCTGGGGAGCTGGGCGCCTTGGCTTTGGCACCTAAAAAGTTGGGCGCTTGGTGGGCACTTGAGAGGTGTTGGGTGCCTAGGCTGGGGGCCTGAGAGATGTTGGGCGCAGGGGGCTTGAGAAGTGCTGGGCACCTGGCTGGGCCCGTATGAGGGGTTGTTGCACTGGTTGGTGCACAATAGAGGCTGCTGCGCTAATTGGGCGCACAGGAGAGGTTGCTGCACTAGTTAGGCACGCAAGAGATTCTGTTAGTTGGGCGTGCAGGAGGGGCGCTATTACCCAGGAGCAGGTGCCAAATCCTTATTGTTGGGAGCGCAGGCAAGCCTTGTTTGCGCTAGATGTTAAGCAGGGGAGTATTGCGGCAATGAGGCGACGGTGCCGAACGGATGAAGCCCGATTGTTGACATCCAATCTAATCTAGTCCCGCGGGTTGTAGACTGCCTTAGCTTCAAAAATATGCCTAGAGATGACAAAAATAATATTATTCTAACATCAAAATATCTAACATGATTACCTAGAGAGAGATAGGGGGTAGATTGCTTGCATGAGAGTAAAGACAAAGTTTGAGGATTACTCGTGAGAGAGTTGTACCTTTTGAGAGCGAACTTTTGGTGACCTATGAGATAGCCGCTAAGTTGGAGGTTTAGGCTGCCTGCTTGAGAGCAGAACAGAGAGTGGTCAAACTTTTGGCGACCCGTGAGAGAGCAGCTAAGTTAGAGATAGGCTGCCTGTTTGAAAGCAGAGCAGATATAGACCAAGTTTTTGGTGACCCGCAAGAGAGCCACTAAGTTGGAGATAGGTTGTCTGCTTGAGAGTAGAACAGAAATAGACCAAGCTCTTTTGCCGACCTGTGAGAGAGCCGCTAAGTTGGAGTTAGGCTGCCTGCTTGAGAGCAGAGCAGAAATAGGCCAAGCTTTTTTAGCGATCCACAAGAGAGCCGCTAAATTGGAGATAGGTTAAGCTTTTGGCGATCTGCGAGATGATTCACATCGCCTCGACCTGTTGATTTCCTCAGCATTCATATATTTTTGAGCTTTTGTCAATAGTTCTGACATGCTCTTTACTGAAAAAAGAAAACTCAATGAGCAGAGGCCTCCTAAAAAGGCGGTCATGGTGACTTTGTCATTGGGCTCCTCGATTTGGAAGACATTCTCGTTAAAACGAGTGAGATAACTCCTCAGACTCTCGTCTCGATCCTATTTTTTGCTGGGCAAATAGGTAGCAGGCTTCTGTTGGCGGCGTCTACCAATGAACTGTGCCACAAATGATCTGCTCAGTTCGGCGAATGAGCCTATGGAGGTCGGGGTGAGTTTGACAAATCATTGTCGCGCTGATCCTTTCAAGGTAGTTGGGAATACCCTACACATAATTTTCGTTAGGGACGTTGTGCAGCAGCATTAAGGTATTACAGGTTTTGAGATGATCAAGTGGGTCCTTTGTACCGTTGAAAGTTTCTACAGATGATATTCTGAATTTCTAGGGAAGCGGGTAGTTTGCCACATTGGCTACGAAAGGCGTGTCTGCTCGCCTTACAAGGTAGTCTACAGTCTCGGGTCCTTGTGCCTTCATGGCGTTGAAGACCTCGCCTAGTTGATTTTGTACTTCTTTGATTTTTTCATCCTAGTGATTGTGACTCCTTTGGAATTGTCATGGAAATGACTCTCGTGCTCTACACTTTGATTCTTGCCCTTATTCTTTTGAAAATGTGGGTCTCCACCATGAAAAAAAAGAGCTGGAGAAAGAGGTGGAGGTCCCTCATAGTGGGCTCCCCTGTGTGGGGCACCTAAGGGTGGCTCAAGTGGGGAGCTCCTTGACGCCCAGGGCATGGAGCTCCTCTAGCTTGAGGTCCTCAGAGTTGTGCTCCTCCTTGTTGTCCAGCGAGCATCAATTACAGGATCTGTTGATTTTGAGCTACGATCCATTGCATTGTCTCCAGTATCTGTTGTGCATTTGGAACATGATTGGTTGGTGGAAGAGCAACCTCCTCCTCTCGTAGTGGATTATCTTTAGGCTAATTCATCGATCTAGTGATGATCGTCATAGGCTCAACAAAGGAAGTGTTTAGGTGAGAGTTTTGTCTTTTCCATAGATGATGCCAAACTGATAATTCACAAATTACCTTTGCACACTACCTGTCAAGTAATCAATAATAAATACAATAAATAAGTAGAGAGAAAGAAGACAAGATTTATAGTAGGTCAACGTGACCTACGTCCACTTTAAATGCCTAGGGTCACCAAATATTCTATTAACTCAAGTGTGTAGGGAGAGCTGAGAGATATAAGTTTAGAGAAGGAGAGGAGAGTTGTACTCAACTGAGTGTGATGCCTCCCAAGTGTTGGCGGGATATACAATTTATAATTGCATCATAATAGATTTGGGTGAGGTATTAATAACTAAATGACTAATTGTTGTGTCTGGCAGCCTCTTCTCAACGGACGAGGTGGTTACGGGGCTCTCCATAGGATTTGGTCAAGGGAAGACGTGGGGTATTGACCATTTTCAAGGTGGCGTAGATGAGCTCTTAGATGACCCAGCATGCTCCTTGCTGATGTAGCTCCTGGAACCTGATGAGTTTGTCTGGGCGTGGACCACTTTGGGCTTGACTAGCTGAACTTCTTTGGAGTTGGACTATTAATTCACACTAGGCTTGTAACATGAGTTGGTCCCTTGGGCTTGAACTATCAATTACAACTCTAAAGTTTCTAAAAAATAAGAAAGGAAGTTAAGATTGAATTGTTTTGTTTATGACATCATTCTAGAGGTCAGATTTAGAAAGATAACAATGTTCATCTACCAAACAATAAGTTTCGGGTTTGAGTTCAAGAATTGTATTCTCCAAAATAGAGTAATGTTATTTATCACTTTTTAATTTAATATAAGCGGGAGTCTTCTGCATTAAATACTAGTTTAGGAACCATATTTTCAAATTGCGAGTTATCTATGTGCATCATTTTTGGTAAAAGAAATCGTCTTCACCACGTTCTTTTTGAACTTATTCAAAATGAAAGTGAATCGAAGAAGTAAGGGATGAGCCTCAGGATAATTATATGCATATATGATGAAATGAATGATATTTTACAAATACAATAAAAAATAGTCTTTTCTTCTTGCTAGGTTAAAACTAGGCCATGCGAAGTAAATTATTTTATTTTATTATTTTTTTTGGTTCAACGGTCAAGAGTATTTGGACTAATTTATACTCGAGCCCGAACTCAATATCCTTAAAAAGAGAGTTTGGGTTTGCCCTCAAACCCAAAGCCTGAATCAATAGCCGACATGAAAAAATCCGTTAAAATCCGGCCCAAGAGCCCACCCGCCAAGCCAAGCTAGCCCACCCTTTCTTTGAAAAAAAGTTATATTTTTAGACCATTAAATTTGAAACTTTGAAATAAGTCTCTCAATGTCGGAATTTGAAGTTCTAAAAATTTAAATACTATAAATAATATATTATTTTGTTTTCATGTATTAAGCATACAAATTTTAAAGAGATAGAGTAATGCAAATGATAGATAATTGAGGAGGTGTCAACCTAATTGAGATGGATTCATTCTATTAGATGTAGTTCATCTCCTAATAAAAAATAAAATTATTCATTATTTCATTTTTATCCATTTTAATTCTACTTTTGATTCAAAAATATAATTTACACAGATATTAAATTACAAAAATATTCATTATTTTTAAATAAAGTTGTATATAAAAAAACATGCGAGTAGACCCATCCAGCAAGCCCGCCCAATAGGTTGGTGGGTTAGGCTGCGGTACGTCCGATAACTCACTTAGATAAGAGCTTCAGTTTACACTACTCAGGGTTGACCCGAAGAAATTTTTACGGGCCTAACCCAGCCCAGCCCATGGACACCCCTATCTCCATACATAAGTATTTGCCCTTTTAAACTCACCCTCCCCCTTCCTCCTCTAAAAAAAAAAAAAAACTTTTGGACTAATGCTATAGATATTTAATAATTTAATACAATCATTAAATTAATTATAAATTTTAATATTAGGTGAAATTCATTTTCAATTCAACAACTCTGTTGATTAAATCCCCAAATTAAGTGAAAATAACATTTTCCTAATCTTTAAAGTAACCCCCTCTCTCTCTCTAATATGCACCCCCCCCCACATTCGAACTCAATATTTGACATTCCCACCCCAAGAATCTTCAAACTCTCTCTCTCTCTCACGCGCGCACACACAAACCATGGTGGTATTGTCTCGGCCAGTACTAGACAATTTCTCTCTCATCAAAACAAGCGAAACCACTGCAAATCCATCCACTGTAATTCCAGAAATAGACCTCTTAGACCCTCATGCAGGCAACCTCATCGTTAAGGCCTGTGAGGAGTATGGCTTCTTCAAGGTGATCAACCATGGCATCCCAGTGGAGTCTGTCACTAAATTAGAAGCTGAAACTATCAAGTTCTTCGAGTTACCACAGTCTGAGAAAGACAAAACTGGCACTTCTACTCTTAACCCTTTTGGATATGGTAACAAGAGAATTGGCCCAAACGGTGATGTTGGTTGGATTGAATACCTTCTCTTCAGCACCAGCCCCCAAAATTGTCTCTCCAATTTCCCAGGAAACTCAGAAATTTTCTGGTAAGAATCCCCCAAAAGTTTTGCTTTTCTTAATGTATACATATTGAAAAGAAGGGTAAGACTTAGTCACCTGAGAGAGTTTTAGAATTTTTTTTTGAGTTCAGTTACAAGTAAACGGGATTGTTTGCGTTTGATCCTAACATTTACGATAATTTAACCAAAAAACATTGTAAATTTCAATGTAGCATCAAAATAGATTGTGACATTTTTTTTCTTCTTTGAATTGTGCATGTAGGACTCTTGTGAATGACTATGTATCAGCAGTGAGACATAGGCTTTGTGGAGTTTCGGAAATGATAGCTGATGGCTTGAAGATTAGGCCAAGGAATGTGTTGAGTAGGCTCTTGAAAGACCAGAAGAGTGACTCTTGTTTCAGGCTAAACCACTATCCTCCATGTCCAGAGCATCAAGCATTCAGTGGTCAAAGTTTGATTGGGTTTGGAGAGCATACAGATCCACAGATACTATCTGCTCTAAGATCTAACAACACATCAGGCTTGCAAATCTGTCTAAGAGATGGGACATGGGTTTCAGTCCCAGCTGATCAGAGCTCCCTTTTCATCAATGTTGGTGATTCCTTGCAGGTAAACCATTACACCCCTCATACTTTTAGGGTTACACTTTCCTATCGAAAAATAATTTTTTCGTTACATTTGTTCTTAATCTAATGACAAGTAGAAATTTTTTATTATTTTATTATTTTAAAGATGAATGACTCTAAATAATTTAAATGAAGATAGATATACTGTTGAAAATTATTTTTCGGTATCACAGTGTTGTCCTACTTTTTAATACACAAAAAAAAATGATTATTTATGTAATCATCATAAAACTTGGTTCCTACTTTTGAATAATTTCTTGTAGCTTTTTTTATGGTTTATAGCCTTTGAATTTGTTCTCTTTTATTTATTCCAAACGGTGAGCTTTGCTCTCTGTTCATTTCTTTTTATTTCACTAACATCCTTAATGGGTTTTGCTCTTTTATTATGTATTTTTCTCCGAAGGGTCTTTGTCACTTTCTCTCTCCCCCATCTCACGTCTAAGAGTGTCAAACGTGTCGGGTTAAACAGTTACGTGTCGGGTTAAATGGGTGATGGATAAAAAACATGTAAATTCATACACGATTCATTTAATAAACGGGTAAAAACCCAAGACAAACATAAACCGTTTAATAAATGGGTAACACGACACGACTCGTTTAATCTGTTTAATTTTAATTTATTATTAGTTTATTATTATATTTTTGTGGCTGTCACTAAATTAAAAAAAAATTATATGGCTATCACTAAAAATAATATATATATTCTGTGGCTGTCACTAAAAAAAAATCTACCTAATTTTTAAAATAATTATTAATTTATTATTATATTAATTTTATTTAAACATGTGATAAACGAGTTGACATGACTCATCCGAACACGATCCGTTTATTAAACGTGTTTGACTGGTCAACCCATTTATTAAACGTGTTTGACGGGTCAACCCGTTTACCATTCGAACTCATTAAGGTCTCATTCAAACTCGTTTAATTCGTATCGATTAATCATTTCATATCGGACTTTGACAGCTCTACTCACGTCGTAGTTAGACTTGGAATATGTGAAAGGGATACTCAAACTCAAAGTAGAGTCCCGTATATATAGCCAAGAATAATACAGAGTAAGGGTAAAAAAGAGAATCTAATAAACCTAGACTACTATCTATACTCCAACACTCCCCCTCAAGCTAGGCGCAAAAATGTCAACTAAGCCAAGCTTGACAACGGAGTCCCGAAGAATAGGCAGAGTGACAGGTTTGGTAAAAACATCCGCAACTTGATCACTGGTCCCCACAAACGATGGAGTAACAAGACCACTGCTGACCTTCTCCCGAAGAAAGTGAACATCGATCTCTATATGCTTCGTTCTCTCATGTAGTACAGAGTCAGAAGCGAGCTGAATAGCAGATTGATTATCACAATATAATGTGGATGGAGAGGTCACTGAAAAACCCAACTCGTCAAGAATCGATCGTAGCCAGATAATCTCACATGTGCCAAGTGCCAATGCCCGATACTCTGCCTCTGCGGACGAGCGGGAGACAACTGCCTGCTTCTTGCTCTTCCAAGAGATAAGATGAGTCCCTCGAAAAGCACAGAAACCCGTAGTAGATCGACCATCACATGCTCCCCCATAATCTGAATCTGAATAACAGGCTAGAGAACCGGTCTGAGATCCTGATGCATAAAACAATCCAAGTCCAGGACAAGACTTGAGGTACCGAAGAATATGATAAACTGCATCAAGATGAGGCTGACATGGCCTATGCATGAACTGACTAACTCGGCTGACTGCGAATGAAATGTCCGGCCTAGTATTGGCTAAGTAGATAAGTCTACCTACCAATCTTTGATAAACTGTCGGATCTTTCAACTCCTCACCTTCAGCAGTAAGCTTCAGGTTTGGAATCATAGGTGATGTATGTTTGTTGTCGGTGGGTTCACACCAGTCGGGTTCACCAGTCGGTGGAGTGTGATGTAGGACAGTCGGTGGGTTCACCAGTCGGTGGAGTAGCGAGTTGTTTCGCTTCAGTCGGTGGACTGATTCGGTGATTCGGTGAATCGGTGGAGTATGTAATGGTGGCTGGGCAGTTTATTGGAGAACTGTTACAAGGAACCGGCTATCGGAGTTGGGTGAGTAGCGGCTGGTTTGGCTGGAGTATGTCGGTCGGTGGGCAGTCGGCAGTCGCTGGGTTCTATGGAGGCAGTCGCTGGTTTTGGAGGTGCTTTTTTTGGTTCGCTGGTTTGGCTGGAGTATGTCGGTCGGTGGGCAGTAGGCAGTCGCTGGGTTCTGGTGGCGCTGGAGGTTGGGCAGGCTGTTGCAGATTGTTTGGGTGTGGCGCTGGAGTGGAACGGTGGCTGCTGGGAAGGTGATGAAGGCTAGGGTTAAGGTTAGGGTTAGGGTTAGGCTTAGAGATGGAGGCTAGGGTTTTGGCTTTGATACCAACTTGGAATATGTGAAAGGGATACTCAAACTCAAAGTAGAGTCCCGTATATATAGCCAAGAATAATACAGAGTAAGGGTAAAAAAGAGAATCTAATAAACCTAGACTACTATCTATACTCCAACAGTTAGCAATGCTTTCTTTCATGTTTTAAGACTAGGTAAAGTTATGGTACCGAAGAAACATCATGTTATGAGCTACAACATCAAACCAAATTATATTAAACTTTATTTTTTCGGACAGTACTCTAGGGGCTGTTTGTTTCGAGTATAAGATTTAGGTGATATAAGATTTTATATTTATTTCACTCCGATCCAATGGTATATTATACCCGATCTTAAACTATAATCTCATTATTTTCCTTGTTTGTTTGTCATAAATATTATCTGTGTAATACCTACTTAAAAAAGTCAACAATTGCGGCTATAACCCGTAAAAAGACAATTGTAACCTTGTAACCTTAAAAAAACAATTATACATGAGGGCAGTTAGGTCTTTTTATTTTATTATATCCCCATCTTATTTGTACCGGACATATAATACCACTGGATAGGTGGTATTCATTAAGACCATCTACAAGACATTATAATTACTGTTCATAATGGGTCAGTATAACGATCCGAAAAATAGTACTGACTATAAAATACTAATCAAATAAGATATAAGATGGGTCTCACGTACTATTTATCTAATACCACCTCCTTATACAACTCTAATCCTTAAAACAGACAGCCCCTTATATGTGTGGATCATTTGGTGCAGGTAATGACTAATGGGAGGTTTAGGAGTGTAAGGCATAGAGTGTTGGCTGGTAGTTTGAAATCAAGGGTATCAATGATTTACCTTGGAGGACCACCTTTGACTGAAAAGATAGCACCGTTACCCTCACTAATGGAAGACGGAGAAGAAGGTTTGTACAAGGACTTGACATGGTGCGAATACAACAAGGCTGCGTACAAGACAAGGTTGGCTGAGAATAGGTTAAGTCTCTTTGAGAAGTCTGCAGGCCAATGATTTTTTGCCAACTAACCCAGTGGGGAAAGTTTAAGGTTTTTCAAATTCATAAAGCAATATTGTCTGAAACCGAAATGTTATTTCGCTTAATGATGTAACGGTTAACATAGTAAAATATAATTTTTAAAATTGTAGTAATTGTTGAATTTTTGCAAAATATTTGGACAAATTATTTAGTCCCAATCATCTTATTTAATTGAGAAATGCTATACAAAATTAAAAATCTGACTTAAAAACTTGAATAGATAATATGACTATTATATTTATAATTGATTTAACTGTTGGTTTCAGCATTTATTGAGACTCATTACCATTCAATGGAAGTGATTCATTAAATTAATTTTTTAAATCTATTTAACGTTTTCCTATTTAATTTGTTTGAAAAAGTTGACTCCACTTGCTATGTACGAAAAATGGTAGGTTTTCTTGGATAGATATCTCCTCATGACATCAATCGTCGATCACGTATGACAAACGATTCACTTATTTATTATGTACATTGTTTTTCCTTTTGGGGCTTTTTGTTCCAAGGATTAGAGTAGTACAAGGATGTGATATTAGAGAAATAGTACGTGAGACTCATCTTATATCTTGTTTGTTTAATATTTTATAATCAGTACTATTTTTTGGATCGTAATACTGACCTGCTATGAATAGTAGTCATATAATGCCTTGTAGATGGTTTAAATGAATACCACCTACCCGGTGGTATTATATGTCCGATACAAATAAGATAAATGTATAATAAAGTAAAAAGACCTAACTGCCTTCATGTACAATTGTCTTTTTAGGGTTACAAGGTTACAATTGTCTTTTTATGAGTCATAGTCGCAATTGTTGATTTTTTTAAGTAAGTATTACACAGATAATGTTTGTGACAAACAAACAAGGGGAATGATGGGATTATAGTTTAAGACCGGGTATACTATACCATTAGATCTAAGTGGAATAGATATAAAATCTTATACCACCTAAATCTTATACGCGAAACAAACAGCCCCTTGGTGTTTTAGTTGTGTAACACAGCGACCCTCTACTCCCAAAGGTGGACATGGATCGTCATACAGAGGGCTTCGTGTCTCTGCATGTTGTGAAGGTTAAGTCCCCTCTGTTACATAGGCATGCTTCTAAGACTGCAATTTAGTGTGAAAACGAATACAACCAGCAACATTGCATGGATTAAAAAGTCCTGTGTTCAGGTCTCATTCTCATATAAAGTTCGAGGTTAACCGATACTTGAAATTTGTAAGTAATTTATACCCGAAGTTATTTATTTATTTATCTGAACCCGAAGTTATGTTAAAGTCATAAATTCAAATAGAGTAATTAAAACCATTCTTTGTTCCCTTAAAAAACAAGAACGTAAACTTGTGACCAAACCTTGAATTCAGCAAATCCAATAAGTCTGGACAATATCAATAGATTCAGATTTCTTCTAATTATATTGATGAATCGATTAATAGATAATAAGTCTGTCTTGAATTCAAAATATGTCCGTCACATAACTCTGAATTCAAGTGTAATAAGAACTTATCATGACAGAACAAACAAAATAATACATAACTCAAGGGATAACTCAAGTAATAACAGGGATGAGTTGTAAATTTAGACGTTCTAAGTTCGAATCTTGACAATCTTTTGGGTCAAGTCATGTGGAATTTATCCCTTATAAATATCATAGTTTTAGCGTGGATAGTCTATCTTTGATCGAATTGGAAAAAAGATTACTCAAGTTGTGCATAAGTTAGCTTAAATACCCACCATTAAACAAATAATAATAATAATAATAATAATACAAGAGGACTAGATAATAAGAGCACGTCACACTTGCTTTTCCTTCTTTCTATGACTCGTTTATTTCCTTAAACTTTTGGTCTAACTATCCTCCGAAAAGAACATCCATATCATGCTCTGTGGAAAGTCTAGCTCTCCATTGCCCACAGAATTTTGTACATGTCTAGAAGATTGTTAGACATTAGAAAAAATCACTCAAAGAAGCAGTCACACTCATGAAGAGTTTGTGTTGACCATCCATTGTGAAAGAAGGTATTGATCTTTTAAAAACAATTTGAAAATCTCTCTCTACATATACCTTTGCCTAGTGTGAAAAAAAAAAATTCATATATCCTATTCTTCTAGTTAGGTTGAAATATCTATTAATATTTCTACGAGAAGAATTTTATTCAAGGATTAATTTATTATTCAACAAAGAAAATTTGGAAATTATTAAAAGAAGAGATCAACTCAATATTTTATATGAAAAATAAAAAAAAAATTGGTTAGGTTAACATTAATTGATAGAAATTAAAAAATGATTAATAATAAACGGCCCGTGTTATATTATGAAACATAAATAAATTATTTAAGTAGTACAATATGAACAATATATATATATATATATATTTACGCTTTTTTTCTCTTCTAGCTTAATAAATATGTTGAAGTAGTATCTGACTATCCGATTCAATTAACTCACCAGATTGAATAATATTAACCAGTTTTCATACTAATTAAGATAATGTAAACATAATAGGAAGCGATTGATCTTCTTTCCTCCTAAGACCTTGGATGAGTCCAAGAATACTATATTGAAGATTTGAATGGCCTCTTCATAAGGATGACGCATGCATTTACACAATTCATGGAACAAATCCTTGAAAGGGTGAAATGTTATATTAATTATCAAATAATACAAAATCAAAAAGAACTACCAAGTTGAAAGCTTCTGAAATATTAAAATAAATTAACACGATACACAAACCCCAGTAATAACCTCATTCTTCTCCATCCCCATAAGCCACCATAAACTAAGTTCATTAGAGAGAGAGGCATTCAGTAAGCAACAGTGTATCGTCACAAAATAATAGTTTCACATGGTAAGATGAAATTGAGTTGGGAGTCAGCATATTACTTTTGATATAAACAACAATTATAATTTGGTTTTCCAAAAAAAATTACGTTTTTTTTTTTACTTCTTTTAGTCATCAAATTCATCCTATCAAATATTTTCGGTTATAAAACTATCACTGATCAATGGTTTACATCCCCCGATTGGTTATTAAATAACAATGCATTGGTCTTTTCAAATGCACCAAGTAAATCGTCTATACATAAAATGTTTTAGAACCTAAGGAGAAACATAAGATTTTTCTAAAACTTTGGTGTGTTATAGGAATTTTTAAAAATGTGAAGGGGGTTGTTGCCCCCTTAGTTCCGCCCATGTATATAATCAACGTTGGCCCAACTAGCAATGTGGGAAATCTTGACCCGATATAACTTAAGTATCTTTAACAACTTAAAATTTTAGATTTGAAATTTTGTCGCAGCCATCATAGCCCAGTATTTGTCTACACTTGAAAGAAATGGTTGAAATGTTGAAACATTTTACTTTCTAATCTCTGTAATAATTATCGGCATCTGAGAAATTATTTATTCAAAAAATTATTTATTCGAACGTATATCAAAATCTTTTTGTGAATAAAGGTTTATTTCTGTCATAGACTTTGCTATAAATCAGAATCTTGTGTATTGCTTAGGATCTTTTGAGGTGTAGAATATTCAATGGTCACAACCGGCAAGCTATTGACTTTGATTTTTCCAAGTGACCAAGTAAAAAGTGGTCCTTTTGATATGGCATGTCAAGTTTTAGGCCCAAAAGACTTCCCTATTAGTCATTCACTTGTTTTGCAGTTGTTATCACTCTCAAAGTATAAAATTTCATAACTAAAATTGTGTTTGAGATGATTTATAAAATTTAAAAAATATTTCTTAAATAAGTAGTTCTTAAAAGTGTTTTACAAAAAGGTACTTTCATTAAATAAATATCGTTTAGATACTTAAACAAAAAATATACTAAAATAAAAAATATTTTATCTAAAAGTGAACGGTAATGGTGGTGGCAGTTGTGGGTGGTGATGAAATTTTTTTGTGGAAAAGTAATTTTAAAAAAGTAAAAGTTTTTTTTTTTTAACTTTACGTACTTATTTATTGAATTGGTAAACTACTTTTGATTTATTAGGAAGTAATTAAAATAAGTTATTCAAAACAATACTTTTATTTAGTCCTATTCGAATTAGAACTCCTGGCAAGTTGAATTGGCCTTGGACTAATTGGTATTTTCATCTTATGTTAATTTCTCCATTATCAGTACTAAAAATTATTTAAAAAAACTAAATTAATATTGTAATTCAATCTCACGAGGTTGCAATAAAATGAAGCGTTTCGATCTTAACTTTCATGTCGTAACTTTACCAAGTCAATTTAAACTTTTGATAGAGTACCGCTTTTAATACGATAGTCTTACTCTTTTAAAAAGAATTATTAGGATGTGTTTGAATGACTTTTCAGTAGTGTTTTTAGAACTTATGATTTCTTTTAAGTACTTTAAGGTGAGCTCGAGATCGATAGAGGAGCTTAATAGATTGCAGAGAAGCTCAAAAGGGCTGAGCTCAACCTTGCCAGGACTCTAGCTCCTAGCTCACTAGCTCGTGGTTCGGCAGAGTTCTACCTCTTTGCAATTTAACTAATTCAAACTCAGTTGAGATTCCAACTCTGGATGGAGAGCCCTCACCCACTACAACAATAGTATCGCCCATATTCCAATTATGGATAACAATCCTCCAACGACCTAATTCACAAGTTATAAAAGGGAAGATAGAAGATAATCCGGATAAGGGCAATTGAGCTCCCAATTTCATATTTTTCCTCTTGAATACTCTTTCTTACTTGGGCATCAGAAGGCCGACTCTCAAAGTTACTTGTCGATTTTCGACTTCTTTTTCAAGTGATTGAAGCTAGATGAGCTGACGTGATTTTGGTATCATAAAGTATGATACTAAAAATGACTTTCTAGTTTACTCTTACCAAAAATATATAGAGTGAAGGGGTAAGAGTACTTTTGGCCCCTAAAGTATTTATTTTTTTGTCATTTTGGTCATTAAAATATTAATTTTATTAAATAATTCAA